TTATTGGAATCCTATTTACTGAACAGAGAACTTTGTATGAAATTAAGGCTTTCTCTCCATCTTCAGGTGTCCCACAACGATCAAATCTGAGACCTCTGCTTTTCCTGCTTTATGTTGATGGTGTTGTGAACCTGCTCTGATGTGAGAAATTGCTTTTCGCTGATGACCTCAAACTTTTCCTTAAAATAAATTCTATCAATGACACAATTTAAACACACTAATTAACCAGGTCCAAAAAAATCAAATGCATTTAAAGAAAGACAAATGCTTTATTGTTACCTACTCAAGTAAAGAGAACAATATAACGTATACCTACCGGATCAACGAATGCTATATCGCGAGTGGACAAATTCAAAGATTTAGGTGTAATTTTTGATAGCAAATTTATTTTTAGGGAACATGTATCTTATTGTGTTGCGCAAGCCCATAAAATGTTTGGCTTTTATTTGCCGCGAATTTAGTGATAAGTATTCAAACTTTATTAACTTTGTATTACTCGTTGGTTTGATAAAAATTTGAATACGCAGCAGTGATTTGGTACTGGTGGTATTTATTTGATCTATATACAGCAATTTGAGTCAGTTCAACGAAAATTTCTAAATTTTTGTCATACCTATGGTACATATCCTCAATAAGGATATGATTACTGTATGTTAAACGGACGATAATTAGTATTTCTATGAAATTATTGTATGGCATAGTGAATAATATAGTTGACTGTTTTCCTTTGTTAGAAAAAAGTATAGGTTTAATACCTAGGTTAAGCGCTCGTAACAATTTCGTGTTTTATTGTAGCTATTGAAGAACTAATACGTTGACAATAGTACTTATGTGTAGCAATTTTAATTTGATTAGTGGAGTGTGTGACATCAAACTCTTTTCAAACAATTTTCAATATAGTGGTTCATTATGTAGTAAACTAATTGAGCAGTTTTTTTTTGAATCGTCTGTTATTATTATTATTATTTACATCAAGGAATTATGTGTAGTTTATAAGTTTTGTTTTGTATATACATATATGTAATAACTATAATACCTTATACTACAACCCGTTTCGGTTTTCCTGTACTTGAGAGTTTGACCCGTAGGAAATAAATCTACTATTATTATTATTATTGTTATTAAACGCCAATAAGAAGATGGCAGCTACTGACTTAGTGCCCAAAATTTGAATTTGATATCAGGTATGCCAATATAAAATTTTAAACATGTAAACGTGACAAAAAAATCATAAACCTTAAGAGTCACTCGATATAATGAATTTATTAAAATATATAGGAGTATTATACCGCGTATGTGGAAAATGGCGGATTAACTCTTTAGTACGTTATATACGGGGGTTTCGGGAGTCCCGAAAAAATAATAAAAAAATTCTTTATGATGTAGATTACGAAAAAAACGTAATTTTATAAAAGTAAAATTGGCAACACTGCACACTTGTAATGCGTGAATACCTCCGGCTTACTTTCTAGTTTCTTACTAACGATGGTGACTGAAATCCACCTTCGCTTTATATCAGGCAAACATTGTTGTCAAATGGAATTTCATCAAATTATTACAAAAACAGCACATCCATACTTTTGTATATTGTAACTGAAATGGTAATAATTCAACATGGTCATGGGCGAGAGAAATATTAACTAAAAGTTTTATTACTAGTTATTGTGATAACGAATGGGTTGTTTAGTTGTTAACCGTAGCAAACGAACCAATTTTAAAATTATTATAACTCCACCAAAATGTGAGAAGGAATTTTTTTACAATTTTTCCCAGACTCACCACTTGATTGTTAAGAGTGTAGCGGAGAGTTAATCCGCCATTTTCCAGACACCCGGTATATTAAAAATAGTTGTAGAAAATCAAGAAAAAATATTTTAAGTGAAATAGAGAATAGGGATATTTAGGAAGAGGAAGTATAGGGAGTATTTTCATTTTCCAAATCATCTACATCCGTTCTGCTAAAGAAATTATAATTGGTGGAATATCTTTCACACTAAAGTTTCCCATTGCTCGGTGCCAATCTTCTTCAATAATAAGTTTCTCCCAGTGTTGAATACATTGCTGTCATATTTCTGATGTAAAATTGGTAATCGCTTCAACCCACAGCTGGATTATCCGTTCTGGATCATCTCCATATTTATATTTTTAATGTAGTATTGTTTGCAAAAACTTCACACCAATTTAATTAGGTTATATTTACAATGATAGGGAGGCAATCGTAGAAACCTCTATACCATTGTTAAAAAAATGGGAGTTAAAACCGTTGTAGATAATTTTTTTATAGTTTACCTTGAAAGAATATTGGTCCAATGATTCGTCTTCGACTAATTGCTGCCCACACCCCAATTTTTTAAGACTGGAATGGTTCTTCAATAAATTCATGTGCTTCATCAGTAAAAACTATTTTTTGCGCCAATTGTCTGTTGTTCATATTCATAAACCAATTGTAAAATTCTAATCTTCGTGGGAAGTCCACTGGTAAGAGTTCTTGTACTGCTGTGTTACGGTAAGAACATACTTCCAAATGTTCTCGTAAAAGTTTGTGGGTAGTTCCAACAGAAAGATTAATTTGTTGATGTAATTGACGAATTTACGTTTTTGGTGTGTGTCTTCCATTATTTCTGCAGCTTGAACAATAACTTCAGGTGTTTGTTTTTTGGGCGCCCCACTTCTTACTTTTCGCAAAAGGCTACCAGTTTCTGTGAAGAGTTTCATCGTTCTGTCCAATGTTTTTTAAATTTTCTGCAATGAATAAGTCCATTCTGCATCAACTTTAATCCCATTCCGATAATAACTCTGAACCAGAAAAACTTTGTGGTCTAAATTGCAAGCCACGGCACCAAGAATACAACGTTTGCTCGTTGTGAAAGTAACTGATTTTTTAAATTCGGAAAACAGAAAAGACGTAAAAAGAAGTCTTACCAACTGTACTACTTAAATCAGAATACATTAAATGGGTTGGGGGTGGGACCTGTTGAGATCAATAAATTAAATTTTTAATTGTTAAGTATTTAGTATATGTAAATTAATTACTACAAATATTGTGAAGTATTTTTGTATCAAAATTATGTATTTTACACTATAGAGAAATTCAAAGTAAGTAAGTAGTAGTAATTAAAATTATTGAACTGTGGGCTGACAAATATGAAGATTTAAATATGTAGAGGTATTAAGATTTAAGATTAAGATTTGAAATAAATTAAGATTTAAAATAAACTGACAAAAGGTTTAACTGACAAAACACCACGAGAGTCTCACGATAAGCGACGTAAAAAAACTACCTTCGCCAAATGCGCAAAAAGAAAAAAACACACGATCTGAGCTGATGGCCTGAAGAGTTTCTTGGGGAGCTGTTCCCTAAAAGGTGGCTACCGGGAAGAATCCTGCTCCTGATGACGGTGTTATTCCCTGCACGTACCGTGGCGAATCCCAGGGGATATGGCGTGATGAATGAAGAAGCAAGACGAGCGAACAGCAGAGCAAAATAATCCCACAGGAAGGTTTACAGGAAGTCGATGGTGATGTCCTCTTAATGCGGAGATTGCGTGAAAATGCTCTTAATCCGGCTTTGCAGTGGGCCACCCAAAACTGTGGCACCGTCTACTAATTCCAGGGATAAATCCGCGTATACGAAGTAACACAAGACCCTCAGAAAAATTCACGCAGCCTTTTCCACGAATCTGTCCCTCTAGCACCAAAACGAGAATAATCCCAAGATGGAAATGGAATTCTTCCTCCTTGCAAGAAAGTGTGGCGAATTTGCTGGTGGTATGGGCCCGCGGGAAAATCGCTACCTCAAAACCCTTCAGGGAAACGATGGTCTATTCAAATATTCCCCCTCCTGCAGTTCCGTTTCCAAACGTCACACCAAGCTATTAGTTAATGGTGGCGTCCATGTGCAGAGATGGAAGGTGACAACCCTTCGCGACAATTCCATACTGTGTGTTGCGGACATACTCAGCGTCAAAATAACAAAAATTCGAGCAATTAGCCCTCGCCGAAATGACACCGTGACAACGGGAGACCTATTTCTTCGTACTGTAGGGGTCATGAAAAGTCGGGAAAACGTAAAAGTAGAGAGTCGGTCGACGGACTCGATTACAATGCTTCCTTCGCTTACGCTCCAATCCAAAGTTTTATCATTTGAGAATGTAACAAAATTTTTAACCGCCGCTCCCTATGAGACCTTCTTATTTATGATTGTGCTGGTGTTTGGTTTAAGTGGCGCCTGTAGAGGAGACGAATTATACATTTTACCAGTAGGCGACATTCAAGATAATGGTTCAGTTTTAGCCGTCACATTAAATGGTACAAAGGCAAACAAGAAACGTGTATTTACTATTACATCAGGAGCTGATCCCATAGATGGTGTTAAATTGTACAGAAGATACGTAGGGCTTCAACCAAAGAACGTTCCTCATCAAAGCTTTTTTGTGTGTTATAGAAATGGAAAGTGCACCATTCAACCCGTAGGAACAAATACGTTCTACAGTAGTTCTAGAAAAATCGCTGGATATTTAAAGTAACCAGACCCTGTTAGGTACATGGGACATTGTCTGACGAGAACAAGCGCTACGTTTTTGACTAGTAATGGAACAAGTATTAATACCTTAAAGAGACATGGCGGCTGCCGGTCAAATACAGTTGGCCAAGCATATGTAGATGAAAGTATCGAAAATAAAGTGGAGACCTTAAAACAATTTTCAATCTAAACATAATACTCAACAAATTTCTGTTACAAAAGTTTTCGTCTCTCACTTGCCATCATCTTCTAGAATTACAATTTCAAACGTAAATAATAATTGCAGAGATTTACAGATGCCAATTTCCTCTGGCATTACGTTTTCTAATGTCACTAATTGTATTTTCAATTTTGTTTATGAAAAATAAAGTTCTGAAATAAATGATATTGTGGTTGCTAACTGGAAAATTGCTACTTTTCTTTATTGTTTTCGATAAAATAAAAGTATGCTTTTCTAATGAGTACACAAAATAGTAGATTGTTTTATTAGGATTAAAAGTGCCATTTTTTGCGACGAGCAAATTTTGCATTTGCGAGGCGGAGCGAAGCGAAGCCGAGCGGATGCAAAATTGCGAGTCAAAAACTGACTTTTAATCCGAATGAAACATACTACTTTTTCGCCAGCCAAAAAGTAAATCTCAAAAATACAAAATATTGATAACAATAATATCGAGCAGAAATGAATCAATCTGCAAAGTAGTCTGGTATCCACGTCGTCAAGGCTTTTTTTGTTTGCTTACATACCATTGTTTTGTGAAAACGTTTGCAGTGTTAATAATGAATCCTGAAGAAGAGTTACCTCCCGATGTGCTAGAAGAAGCACAAAACGTGGTACTGAACTTGTTACCAACAAAATCGCGCGAAGTGTATGAGTGCGCGTATACCCGCTTCATCAAATGGTGCGAAGGGAAAAAGATTCAAACTTATTCTGAGAACGTCCTATTGGTATATTTTTCCGAATTGGCTACAAAAATGAAGTCATCCACACTGTGGTCGCACTATTCTATGGTGAAAGCAACTTTAAATATAAAAAATGGCATAGAAATCGGAAAGTATTCAAAATTAAAAGCGTTTATAAAGAAACAAGGAGAAGGATACGTTCCAAAGAAATCAAGGGTTTTAACTAATGAACAAATAGAAGTTTTCTTAGACACGGCTCCGGATTTCAAATTCCTGATGATGAAAGTATGTTTATAACCTAATGAAGAGCTTATATTTATTTTACGAATTTTTTTCAGATTGTTGTAATCTTTGGCGTTAGCGGAGCTTGTCGGTGTCACGAACTATTACAAATAAAAACTGAAGATATTGAAAATATTAAAGCAGGTTTATTGGTAAAAATTCCTGATACCAAAACGAAAAAACCCAGATCATTTACGGTTATGGGGGAAAAGTATTTGAAATTTTTTTCGTTTGGAAGAACCAGGTACAAGTAGTGAAACCACAAGTAAAATACATGAAGACGCAACGAATAGGAATGTGAGCGAAGTAAACCTAGAAGAATCAGGTACAAGTAGTGGAACTACGAATAGAATGATCACACGTGAAGACGGAATAAGTAGGAATGTGGGAGCAGTAAACCTGAATTTTGACACTGTGACCAACCAGACAGCAGGAGCGGTAGAAGTGTTAGCGCAAAATATTATTACTGACCGCATGAAAAATGATAATAGTGACGGAAAATCTTTAATCCAAATCAATCGCAGTTGTTCTTATTGTACATTCAATATTAATTTTAAAATTTAAATAATTAATAACAATGTAAGTTAATAATAAAATTGGAAAATATTAATAGCATTTCATTCTCAAAATAAAACAATTGAAAACTTTTTAAGGCTAGGATGAAAAAAAAAAATTAATGCTAGGATTAAAAAGGCAAAAATGACGTTGTTACTTTAGTAACGCAACTTTTTTTTACTCTCACAAAAACGTCAAGTTTTCCGTCCAAAATTGACGTTAAAAGTGACATCTTTTAAGACGGCTGGCGAAAAAAATTATTTTTCCACTCCCACACAGTAATCCATGAATAACGGACGGTTTATACCCTCAAAAAAAATAATGCAAAATTCAAATGAGAACATAAGATAAGATTTGAGTGTATGGAAATTGTCAGAAGTCTGAAGAATGCATCCATCGCAGCACGTGTTTATGCTCAACGATACCCCGAAAGAATAGTGCCTTTAGACACGATTTTTAAAAGATTGGAGAATCAGTTGAGAGCTAATTGGCCTCCTATTAAGTTATCAAAGGAAATGGTACCTCTTGGTGAGGAATACGAACTAGAAGTCGTTTAAATTCTTGAGGAGGAACCCCATGTGGGACAACGCGATTTGGCAAGAAGAGTAGGCATTAGCCAGTCTTCCGTTTACAGAATTGCCAAGAAAATAAGTTTCATCCTGATCATATCACCGTGGTCCAAGGGCTTAAAGAGACAGACTACCCTAAAAGACTTAACTTTTGTCGATTTGTTCGGCAACAAACCATTTTAGATCAAAATTTGTTGAAAAATGTCAGTGATGAGGCATTTTTTAGCAACAAGGGGGGTGTAAATAACATAATTATCACTACTATGCCCAGAATAACTCCAGCTGGATTCGTGAAGGACACTTTATAAGAGTTTATTTTACAAATGCCTCGTGTGGGAACAAAATGATAGGACCATACTATTTTCGCGAAAGATTAAATGGTCAAGTGTATTTAAATTTTCTGAGGAACATTCTTCCAATGTTGTTGGAGGAGGTAAATCTACAAAGAAGACAAAATATGTGGCTTCAACAAGATGTCGCACCCCACCATTTTCACAGAGACGTGAGACACTATTTAGAAGCGGAATATGCAAATAAATGGATAGGTATGGGTTCAATTAATCCTTGGCCCCCTAGAACATCTAATAGAACTCCACTAGATTACTTTTTATGGGGACTGATCAATGATCTTGTCTACCGAACATATATCAACAGTAGAGAAGATCTGGAATATAGAACAACTCTCGCTTGTAGATCTCTAACGCCAGCGATGCTTATGAGAGTCAGAAGATCTTTTTGGAACCGCATTGAGGCATGCGAAAGTGGTGGACAGCATTTTGAATATCTTCTTAAATGATTTGCTTCGTTTTTATTAAAACATCTTTTCCGTTAGTATTTCACTTCTTTGAGTCTTTTATGATCTTAATGTCAAAACTGACAAACTTTTAGACATGCTTGCTATGTTTACATATTTATTAAAAATAGAATTTTGAATCTACATAGATCCGCAAAGTAATGCATTATACAGGTTATTCAACAGAAGCTCTACTCAAAAAAAAAACAAGCCGCAAGGAGAAATAGAATTTCAAAACCATCCTTGATAGTTCATACTGTAAGACGATTCCTGGCCAGATAGCGTCTTTAGCGCAAATTATCAACAAATATTCATTATCAATGACGGTCAAACGGCTACAGCCAATTGCAAACTACAGATTCACTCACCCCTTACATGTGACGCTCTAGTACAGGTCCGGCCCCGCGACAATTCGGCCCCAATCACGAATATGAAAACAGACACACCTGACTTATCCGTCGCTAATGATTAAGAATGGGGTCATTCACCGGGGGGTCTCCACCCCCTAGCCCACTCCTTGTAGATCAGCGATTCCAACTCACGGCGTCATCTTCAGCGCGCAATCTTCTGGTGATGTTGTCGAGTTATCTGAAATCGCCCTAGCCGTACAGTTTGGGATGTACTGCCCGCCCACAGCCCCTTCAGAAGGAGCGCTGTCTTGACCAAAGTGGAGAGGACACCTTCACGTCCATACGTCACTATGTTTCCTCCAGAAACCGGGTTAATCTCACAACCTAACCAGCAAACGTATTCTCTGTTGCATTCCAAAGCCAAAGCCAAAAGCGCTCCACCTGAGTACGCCTTCGGTGCTCAGGTACATACCATGGTATCTGCCGGAAATTTTACGCGTTCACACTACTCTCGTGGCCCCAGGTTCACCCTAACCTGCCACCTTCTCTTATCAACACCTTAACGCCCAACTCTTTGCTCTTAACACTCAACCCGAGTCCGGCCCTGTCACCACACAGCTGGGCCTTCACGCCCACCGCTATTTTACACACTCTCACGGACTCTGACTAACTCGGTCTAACTGCCCTCAAAATGCACCCTTTGCATCTGAGATATGTGTCTTAAGTGGGGGTTAATTATTAAATCTGATTGGTTTTGTCGCCTTAAAGACCTGCACTAAAATTTCCGCTTACAATACCATTAAAAAAAAAGTAAAACATAGTCATCTGTTTCGTGTAACAACATGGACCTAGTGTCAGATACTACCATGTAAAAATTGACATTTCGTTAGAATTGATGCAAAGTGTGTTCGTTCAAACGACAAAAAGGTATATGATTTTACTCGGTATCAACCCTCGACCTTCGATTGACCTGTTCTGACGCAAGCTATTACTACATCAGCCCATGTACAGCTTATCTTTGCCAAAAGAGGTCAAATCTCAGTACATAAAGAAGAAGAACGAGCGAAGATTCATTCAAATACTTATCATTTAATTCGTCAGTCAGAGTTGGTGTCATACCGTATCGCCGTTCCCGTCTCATAAAAGTTTCCTGGTGTGTCGATGTTCGCTCTGGCGTTTCTTGTGAGTTCTATGCTGAATATTTAAAAGTCATTTTTGTTATACAGGGCTTTTATAAATGATTCTAAGGGCGTAGTTGGCCATGGATTTCAAAAATCCCGCCTCGCTGAAATTATGCCCGCGATTATGCATCATTATGACAGTTCTCACTTGTCACATTAATGTCTAATGTCATTTGTAACCTGTCATTTAAAGTCGTCGTTTTTATTATTTTAATGTTTTTCAAGTGCGATTTACAGTAATTCTCATTGATCGAAGCTAAAAACAACAAAACAATCATTTTCAGAACTCTTGGTGGTTGCGTACGAAAATTTTGTGTTTGTGCTACGAAGCGAAGACTATGAAAATGGTTTATCCTGTTGAACAAGACACTTTCATCGTTATGTTTTGATATCGCAATAGGATTTCGAAAACGAAGAGTAGGTGTATCTGTAACAGCTTGTAAGCAAGAATATCTGGCCAAATACCGTGATTTAATAATTCAAGAAATATCGTTAGAGGCTCACATTAGAGATGTAATCAACAGATTTGTTCGAACTGGCAGTGTCAACAAAAATAAATCTCGTGGAAGACGTCATCTGGGACAATTGTTGATGATTTGAGACGACTTGAGCAGAATTGAACAATTGAACAACAGGTCCAAAGTATTGACGAAAGGATGTTACAGAACATTTTTGAAATTAAAAAGAGAGTGAACATGTGCCTTAAACATAATTCTGAACAATTTCAACATTTACTGTGATGTTTAACTGCAATAAATTTGTTTCTTTTTATCGTAATGACTTTGTTTTATTTTTAACCGTGAACCGTTTAGGCAACCAGTTATACACATGTGTGTTGTCCATGTGTGATCTTTGTCATGCGTCCTTGAGCATTTAGTACGGATCTCCGTAAAATTAAATCGGAGAGGCGGCACGTTTACATGACCTACTGCGACCCTATAATCATTTATAGAAACCCTGTATTTGTGTATACAAATTAACCGTTATCCGAGAGGTAGTAATGTAATCATAGCATCATATTTAATAGCGTTTGTTTCGTAAATCTTTAATATAGTTAAACGTGGGAACTCAGCGTTACTGCTAATAGTACACTGGTAAATACAATCTTTACTGCTGTCGTGTATTTTCGTATGTTGATCATTAAGTATGACCTTACAGATTAGTGCAATGCCGCAGTGCATCAAGTGTAAATCTTCAAAAAAGAGGGTTTAACAGGCTGTGCAGGTGTTTGCAATAAATGATTTCACTCCTTATGTGTTAAACTTCACGGAAAATTTTTAATGTACATGATGCTAAAAAAACCTGCTGGAAATATAAGTTAATCTGATCAAACAAAAATACAAATTTATGTAAGTTAAATGGTTTAAGAAAACAAACTGTGTAATTGCTTTTGAAAAATTCAAAGCACTGAGATTGCACATAAAAACTTGTTAAAGATGCTTATTTGATATGTACATACGTAATTTATCAAGGCCAAGAACAACTTTTCATCTGTTCCTGCGACGACGTCTTATAAAGAAAATGCTTTGAACAATCCTCATAACATTGTGGAAGGCACTATATTTCTTTAGAACAGATTTTAAAACCTCTAATTCTAATCAAACTTATGATTACAACTGTTCAACTGATATAAATGTCGACTAGGTACTTCAATATTCATAAATTTGATAAAGAAGTTGTATTCGAAGCTATCCGTAAATTGAAAGCAGCTATGGCAGTTGAACCGGATCTAATACCACCTTTTTTAGGGAAAGATTGTGCGACAATTTTGGCAAAACCGGTGACAATATTATATTTAACATAATTTTGCGTATTTCCTGATGTGTAGCAGCAGTCGAGGATTACTCTTATTTATAAATCCACATGTTTCGAATATGATTACAGATAGTCAGCATGGTTTTGTGAAGGGTAGGTCAACGGTGACTAATTTGGTGGTGAAGACGCAATATTTATCGGAGGTGTTAGACGCATTATGTTGATTAAACTAAAGAATTTTGGTTTCACAGATCATTTGATAACTTTAATAAATTCTTACCTCTTGGGTAGAACTCTCTTCGAATGGTTATCGATCTAAATGATATGAACAACTTTCAGGTGTGCCCGAGGGCTCGGTTCTTGGGCCTCTGTTGTTTAGGATGTTTATTAATGACATAACTTTATAT